AACCTAACAACAGGACTGAGCTTCATGCAAATATATTCCTTTATCTCCAGTTTCCTTGTTGGTCGCAAAAATAAGTATCTATAATTAGCAAAAAGTTAAAACTTTAACTTACTTCCAGGGTAATCGCAGCTTGTCTTTGGGAATCGGGGTGATTTGCGTTTCCAAGGGCGAAGAGTAAGCCATGTACTACACGAAGCTGAAGCAAGAACAAGAAAATTATTATGAACGTCTTGGTTAGAATGTTTGCATTAGTGTTACCATACAGTAGTCTATCAAGATGTGATGGTCTGGAAACTTAACATAAGTCAATGTGTTATGTTTTTGTCTGAGTTTATGTTAATTTGTGCACGGTCACGGTAAGGGGCGGACTATTAGAAATCCCGGGAGGGGAGTATAAAATTTTTGCGGCACGATTTTTTTTCAGTCTCATAACCTCTGCAAGAATTTTTTTTCAAGACTATTTGCACTTTCCTGTTTGCTTGCACGATTTTTTTTTCTCTGACGTAATGGCTGCACGAATTTTTTTCCAGGCATTTTTCTTTGCACGAATTTTTTTGGGGGAATTTTTACCCCCCCCCCCTTCCCGGGATTTCTAATGGTCCGCCCCTAATTGAGCACATTATATGTTCCACAATGAAGTAATCGTCCAATAGGGATAGCTGAAATGAAACGTGCAGTCACGATAAATAGTATTTATAATTTTCCACTAGGCGTTATTTTCCGCGCGGAGCGGAAATTTTCTTTGTCTTGTGATTTCTCGGGTGGAACTAAAGGCCGTTTTCCACTAGGCGGAATTTTGCGCGCGGAGCGGAATTTTTCTTTGCCTTGTGATTTCTCGGGTGGAACTAATTAGAAAGGACAAAGAAAAATTCCGCTCCGCGCGGAAAATTCCGCCTAGTGGAAAACGGCCTTAATTAGAAAGGACAAAGAGAAATTCCGCTCCGCGCGGAAAATTCCGCCTAGTGGAAAAAAGCCTTTAATTAATGAAGTTGAGATTTGTGCACGGTGTAGTACAGACCAACATCAAACAAACGCCTTCTATATTGTAGGTTTGAAATTTGCCGGGCTTCCAGACCATCATATCACATGTCACTGATGCACTAGGCCAAGAATTGATCACCAAGTGTAGTTAAGTAGTTCAGCGTATATTTTATACTATAAGGCCAGCCGTGCTGGACATAGAAAAATGTTTTCTGTAAAACATCTACAGAAAATTAGGCCAGCGTCAAACGTCGAACTTTTCATGTGCCGAACCTAATGTTTGAATGAGCTAAATTCTTTGTTTCACTTCATCACATTAGGTTCGGCACATGAAAAGTTCGACGTTTGACCGTGGCCTAAATCTCACACACCTGGACCAAACTCTCTGCGACTTCAGGCGATTGCTGGGCAAGTATTCTACAAAATTAAAACAAAAAATTAGTATGTAATGACCCACATATCCTGTATCGCAAGGAACTTATAGATGTAGTATAGAGAGAAACAAGCTTCCCTCACCTGATCACCTTACAAGCAGCTGCCTGTTGAACATAGACAGATAACGGCGCTCCAAAGTCTGGCATTGTAGGATCTAATTAAATCAAAAACGAAAATCCCAAAACAAGTTATAGAATTTATCTGCGGTGGGTATAGTCAATAATCATTTCGTTACAGTACAAATTGTAACTGCCTCGTCCCCAATCATCTCTATTTTTGCCATGAACAAAATATTAATTAGGAGATCAGTAGTAGTGTGAGGCGCGAGGAGATGATGGTGTGAGGCTGTTTTTTATTTACGTGTTCCACGCGATCACTGATTATATCACCTGGGGAAGATTCAAGGGGAAGATTCAGAATTTATAATGCTGTTATAATGTCTGGAAGTGTAAGTCAACGGGGGGCTTTTGTAGAGCAGATAGATTTAAAGAACTAGTCTGTGATGTGTGTTTAGTTGAATCAGATCTTAAAGTTAGAAGTACAAGACCCTGTTTGAGAAAGTGAAGTCACAAAAGAATGGCGTGAATAAACAAGGATGCACTAGGTGTTTCTCTAATCCAATGACAATGTAATTTGGATAACATGACACGGAAAGCGAACGAGGGCGTCTAGAAATAGCTATAAGTCACTAAAAGCTTCACATCCAGAAGCCATGCCAATTTAAGTATGAACCATGGTGTTCGATAGCGAGGGACAACAGTTCTCCAACCAGCATCACGCCTGCAATGCAGGCGAAAACAATAAGAAAATGAAAGAAATTTATGAGGAGATTAAGTAAGTGGAGAAGTGCTATAACCGTTTGTTTCAAAATATCCTGTTTATATATCTTATTACTGTATAATCTTAAGCTACCCGACTATTGCCCTATTCAGGACTAAGAAAACCTGCTGCATGCATCCCTTATGGCTAGAAAACGACCGTGCACTGCTATTGTATAGCAGCGAAGTAGCAACATACCACTCAGGATTTCTGGTTTATCGGCCTGAATATCTTCTTTAGATGGTTTTAACAATGCAACCAATCCCTTCAGTACGGCTAACTGTACATCATAACGCATGAGGTCTTTAATCAACTCGGAAGCTTCATATTGGACTTCGAGGTGTAAAGATCTCAATAGCATCAGTACAGAATCAACAATGGTGGGACTAGTCGTTTTAACAACAGGCTATTTTGGGAGAGAAGAATATACAGATGAGTTGACGAAAAAATAACGTTTGGTTTTTCTAAAACTGAATTAGTCTCTCACTCCATGCGACCAGGCCCTGAACGCCATTTTTGGGTGGCAAAGCACGACCAAAAGATGAAACCAGGCAACATTTCGTGAAGTAAATAAATTCATAAACATGATTATAGTACTGTCAGTGCTTTTTACTTCACGAAATTCACTCCTTTGTCGCCGTCTATTTCTCCGTACGGTTTGACACCCAAAAATGGTTGAGAAAGCCTGCATGTGTCACATGGCGTGACTTCGTGAGAAAGGCTTTAATACTAGAGCTCCTCAGCTGGCGTACCGAGTACACAGATTGCCAATTTCAGTCTTCACAGTACTAAATATCACGTACCTACGATCCCGAACGGGTCCCACCTTACGCTTTTGTACGTACATGTACTTTCGCTCTCTACAATTTGCTTATGCCGTCTGGCAAGACAATCATGCTAAAAACTGCAGGTCATTATAGGGTTTGAATGTTGAAATTTCCAACATGGCATGAAATATGACTGGAGCAGTTGATGGAGGGAATGTTGCAGTCAATTATAATATTGCATGTATTTGTATATGTATAATTGTACGTGCTCCTCCTTTACAATTTGTTATGACAAAGACTAAGTACAACTTGTGTCTTAAGTACCAGCCCAAGTACATGACAATAATCGTTCGAGTACCAGACTGAGTGAAGTAAAACTAAAAATCTTCAATTGTCGCCTTGATATTTTTTATCAAGCCTTCGTTGGTGGGGATGCAATATTCATATTTCATACAAAGTCAGATACAAAATGCATAAAGTCAAAGTACGATAAGATGCAAACGTCACATGATCTGAAATATATACGAGGTTGACTGCAGAAGTCTGTTTCTCTGTGATATGGACATTTAATTTACAATCAATT